TAGCTATGGTCCTAGTGAAAATCCTAGTGGCATTCCATCGGAAATTCCTTCTATGGAACCAAGCTCAGTCCCTTCAGGGTCTCCTATTGGTGTCCCATCTGGAGTGCCTTCAGCAGTACCAAGCGAAGTGCCTTCTTTTGAACCTAGCTCATTGCCCAGCTCATTGCCCAGCTCAATGCCCAGCTCAATGCCCAGCAACACTCCCAGCTTGATGCCAAGCTCAGAGCCTTCTGAGAATCCTTCTTTGAAACCTAGCTATGGTCCTAGTGAAAATCCTAGTGGCATTCCATCGGAAATTCCTTCTATAGAACCAAGCTCAGTCCCTTCAGGGTCTCCTACTGGTGTCCCATCTGGAGTGGCTTCTGAAGTGCCCTCTGTAGGTCCTTCATCAGTACCAAGCGTAGTGCCTTCTTTTGAACCTAGCTCATTGCCCAGCTCAATGCCTTCCATCAAAATAGACTTTGCGGCCTCTTCTCTCTTACCTTCTGACGTGGCTTCTGTTTCCCTTGTACCTTCTTTTTTTCCGAGTCTGCCGCCAAGTTTTTCTTATGAACCTTCTGTTAGTCTGATTCTGAGCAAAGGAAAGAGTGGGAGCAAATCAAAGAGTTCAAGCAAGGGCAATAGCTCTGGCAAGGGAAAGAGTCTGAGCAAAGGTAAGGATTCTAGCAAGGGAAAGGATAAAAGTAAAGGAAAGAGTAAAAGTGAGGGCAAGAGTTCTAGCAAAGGGAAGAGTGGTTTCGAAAGCAAGAGTTCTAGCAAGGGGAAGAGTGCCAGTAAGGGGAAAGGTGAAACTAAAGGGCACAGTACAAGTGATGGAAAGAGTAAAAGCGATGCAAAGAGTGCTAGTAATGGGAAAAGTGGAAGTAAAGGGAAGAGCCCAAGTAAAGGAAAGAGTACAAGCGATGGAAAGGGTAAAAGCGGGACTAAGAGCGATAGTAAGGGAGAAAGTTTGAGCGAAGGGAAAAGTGCTAGCAAGGGAAAGAGCGCTGGCAAAGGAAAGAGTAAAAGCGAGGGAAAGAGCG